CTTTGACGTGGTGACTATGTTCTAGCAGGGGGTCATATCTACATTTAAAAAACAAACACGTGGTTTGCAGGGCTGGTTCTAGCTGTGTGACATTGGGCAAGTTTCTTGTTTTTGTTTTTGTTTTGTTCTTAGAGACAAGCTCTCCGACGTTGTCCAGACTAGCCTTGAACTCCTGTGCTCCAGCGATCCTCTTGCCTCAGCCTCCCAAGTAGCTGGGACTTGGAGCATGAGCCACCGCAGTCAGTAGGTGGGCACATTTCTTAACTCGTAGGAGTCTTCTTTCCCTCCTCTGTGAAATGCGGATAACCATGTCTCCCTTTGGAAGTCGTTGACAGAGTGCCTAGCCTGTGGCAGGTTCTGAGTGATGGTCATGGCCATCACCCAGGAGCCGCTGGAGGATGACATCCACCTTGGCCACAGCCAAGCCATGGCTGGGTTTACAGGGACAGAAAGAGGAGCCTTTCCTGAGTTGTTCACTGCGCAACAGGACGTCGAATGTCAGAAGGCAGAGCTTCACTGAGTGACTTGGGGCAAGTCCCTTGTGTCCCTGAGCCTGTTTGTTGCCTCCTGTCACACAGGGTTGGTAAGAGTCACCTCCACACCTATCAAGTTACAAGAAACGGACGAACTCCTGAGCATGAACATGTCAAGGAAGGCTGTAAATAGCATGGTTGTGACTGAGACTAGAAGGGGGACAACCGGCTCCCAGCCATGCTGGGCTGACCCTGCTCATTTATCCGGAGCTCTTCAGACTTCCAAGTATCTGTAGGGAGAATGATGGGGAATAAAAGAAAGAGACAGAAACAATATTCAATGTGCAATGGGGGAGGTCAGGAGGAATTTTGTTTGTTTTTTTGGCTTTTTGAGACAGGGTCTTACTATGTAGTTGAGACTGACCTGGAACTCACTATGTAGCCCAGGCTGGTCTCAACGTCACAGGGATCCTCCTGCCTGAGCCTGCCGTGTTCTGGGATTTTCGGTGTGTGCCACCACACCCGGCTAGGAACTTTCTCTCTCGTGGATAGGCTCTGATGAGTGCCACAGTGGGCCTACTTTTATAATCAACAGAAACACAGGACAGGGGGGAGTATACTGTTCCAGGAAGGTCGCTGCAGTAAATTTAGAATAGCCAGATAAGGACCAACTTTAGCACCTCAAAGGGGAAGAATTTAAGGTCTTTTCCTACACCAGAATGTCTGCATTTTCTGTTGCCCTCAGCAGAATGTTATCTTGCCTCAGGAATGCCGTGTGATTGCTTTTCCACACAGCCAGGAAGTCATATTTCTGTGTTCCTCAGGCAGGTTAACCTAGGGCTTGGGGACTGCAGGGTCACTCACCAACCTATATATATCATGGCTGGTCCCCAACACTTACTGAGTCCACCTGTCTGCTTGTCTGCTCCTTTAGCTGCCGAGGCTGCCTCTTCTCCACCACAGGTGCTGGGGACCAGAGCATCCCAGACCACCTGGGAGGATGGCAGATAGAGGACCCACCATAAATGTCCCAGAGACCCCAAAAACAGAGCAGGGACCCCCCCCACAAGTCTAACCAGTGTAGGAGAGTGACTCAAACACAGGCCAGGTACAAACATTTATCATCCACTTCTTTGGTGGGTGATGTGTTAATCATTTTTCTGTTATTAGAACAAATACCTGAGATAATCAACTTTTAAAGAGAAAAGGCTTGTCTCCCAGGTTTAGAGGTTTCAATCCTTGACCCCTTGGCCCCATTGCTTGGGGCCTGTGGTAAGGCAGCACATCATGCTGAGAGCATAGGACAGAGCAAACCCGCCCTTCTCCTATTGCCAGGATGTGAAAGAGAAACAGGAAGAGATCAGGGCCCCACAACCCCCTTCAAGGGCAAGCCCCTAATGACTCAAAGACCTCCCACTGTACCCCACCTCTTAAAGACTCCACCACCTCCCAGTAAGGCCAGGCTGGGAACCGGGCTTCTGACACATGGGTCTTAGGGGACACTCAGGATCCAAACCATAGCAGGTAACTAGAGGAGAAAGGCTAACTACTCAAACTTCAGTCTCCAGCCTCCCAAGCCCACTAGATAATGGAAACCTAGGAGCCTCTCCCAGAGCTGCCCTTTGAAAGCTGTTCCTCTGGCGTCCCTCCCTCCAGCAGTGGCTTTCCGCCCATCCCTTACCCAGGAACCACCAGGCTCACCGGGGTGCCTTGGCCCCACTTGGCCCACCTACCTGGGTGACAAGCAGATGCTGTTCTCAGAGGATGCTACTGGCACCCGTGCCAGGCCTCAGGCCCCAATGTCTGACGAGACATCACCGAAGAGCGGGGCCGGAAAGGACCCCGCCTCCTTGGCTCCCATCATCAGGCTGCCCTCAAGCTGCCGACCTTCTGCATCCAGGGCCGGTGCGAACCTGCACTGCAGTGTCTACCTCAGCGTAGCCTCGGCCTCGAGGAATGGGAGGCAGACATTATCTTTGGCTCAGATTGAGCCACAATTTGGAAAGTGGAGTGGATGAGCCAGGTCCCGCTGAGATGGATAAAGTGGACTCCAGAACCTAGTGGAAGTGATCATCTTTGGGTGGCCTGTGCGCAGAACTGGACGGCTCCCAGGCCTGGCGCAGAGGCCAGGAAGACATTGTGACCAAACTCAGAAAAGCGGACACTTGAAGGACTCAGCAAAGCCTAGGTACCAGGTCCTCTGCTTAAAACAGTGGAGCGTTATGAGAACAGGACAAAAGGACAAACATTGCCAACTCCATTGGTATGAAATGTTCAGAATAAGGAAACCCACAGAGACAGAAAGCAAATGGCCAGAGAGTAGAAGAAACAGAACGGGAGTGATTACCAGCGGGCATGAGGTTCTCTTTGGGCTGATGGAAGTGTCTTGGAACTAGATGAAGGCAATGGCTCCAAACATTGTAGGGCCGGGGATTTGGCTCAGTGGTTCTGCTGCCTGCTTCACAAGTGCAAGGTCCCGAGTTCAATCCCCAGTACCAAAAATAAAACAAATGACAAAAAAACGTTATAGGGCTGGAGGTATAGCTCAGTGGTAGAGCACTTGCCTAGAACGTATGAGTTCCTGGATTCTACCTTTGGTATCACAGAAACAACAAAAATCATTGTAAATGTACCAAATACCACTGAATCGTACACTTTATTATAGATAATTTTATGATAGAGGAATTCTGCCTTGATTTTATTTATTTTTATTTTTTTGGTTCCAGGGAATTGAACTCAGGACCTTGCACTCGCCAGGCAGATGTGGTACCACTGAGCTAAATCCTCGGCCCTCAGCCTTGATTTTAAAATATTAAGGGCCAGGGATTTAGCTCAGTGGTTCCACCAACTGCCTCGCAAGCACAAGGACCCGAGTTTGATCCCCGGTATAAAAATAAAATAAATAAATAAATAAATAAAATATTAATAAAAATTCATAATATATTGACACCAACAAAGAAAAGGCCCAAATGTTAGCAGCAGTGACATCATC